TGATGATGAGGATGATGATGAGGATGATGTTGAGGATGATGATGAGGATGATGATGACGATGATGATGAGGATGATGATGTGGATGATGCTGAGGACGCTGATGAGGATGATGATGAGGATGATGATGACGATGCTGATGTGGATCATGATGAGTATGAAGATGAGGATGATGATTAGGATGAAGATCATAATGCAGATGATTTTGATGTTGAGGATGATGATGAGGATGATGATGGAGATGATGATGAGGATGATGATGAGGATGATGATGAAGATGATGATGATTATGATGATGAGGATGATGATTAAGATGAAGATGATAATGAAGATGATTTTGATGTTGAGGATGGTGATGAGGATGATGACGGTGATGATGATGAGGATAATGATGAGAATGATGATGAGGATGATGATGATTATGATGATGTGGATTATGATGATTATGCTGATGAGGATGATGATTAAGATGAAGATGATAATGAAGATGATTTTGATGTTGAGGACGATAATGTGGATGACGATGAGGATGATGATGCGGACGATGATGAGGATGAAGATGAGGATGAGGATAATGATGAGAATGATGACGAGGAAGATGATTAGCATAATAATGAGGATGATGATGAGGATGATGATGAAGATGATGATGAGGATGAAGATGAGGATGAGGATAATGATGAGAATGATGACGAGGAAGATGATGGACATAATAATGAGGATGATGATGAGGAGGATGACGAGGAAGATGATGAGCATAATAATGAAGATGATGATGAGGATGATGATGAGGATGATGATGATGACGATGATGAGGATGATAATAATGATGATGATGAGGATGATGATGAGGATGATGATGAGGATAATGATGAGGACGATGATGAGGATGATGATGAGGATGAAGATGAGGATGTTGATGAGGATGATGATGAGGCTGATGATGAGGATGATGATGAGGATGATGATGAGGATGATCTTGAGGATGATGATGAGGATGATGATGACGATGATGATGAGGATGATGATGAGGATGATGATGAGGACGATGATGAGGATGAAGATGAGGATGAAGATGAGGATGTTGATGAGGATGATGATGAGGCTGATGCTGCGTAGGATACAGGGGATTATGACGAGGTGGAAGATGAGCATGATTATGAGGATGTGGGTCAGAATGATGACGGTGATGCCGAGGAATAAAATGATGAGGATGATGATCAGGGTGAAGATGAGGAAGATGATGATTAGGATGGTGATGTGTATGATGATGGGGACGATGACGAAGATGATGAAGAGAATGATTATGATGAGGAGGAGGAGGAAGATTATGAGGATGATGATGAGGATGCATTGAAGTTGCCGATGAGGATGATAATGAGGATGATGATGAAATTGAGGATGATGATGATGAAGATGTCGAGTATCAAGATGAGGATGATGATGAGAATGATGCTGAGGATGATGGTGAGGATGATGATGAGGCTGATGATGAGGATGATGATGAGGATGATGATGAGGATGATGTTGAGGATGATGATGAGGATGATGATGACGATGATGATGAGGATGATGATGTGGATGATGCTGAGGACGCTGATGAGGATGATGATGAGGATGATGATGACGATGCTGATGTGGATCATGATGAGTATGAAGATGAGGATGATGATTAGGATGAAGATCATAATGCAGATGATTTTGATGTTGAGGATGATGATGAGGATGATGATGGAGATGATGATGAGGATGATGATGAGGATGATGATGAAGATGATGATGATTATGATGATGAGGATGATGATTAAGATGAAGATGATAATGAAGATGATTTTGATGTTGAGGATGGTGATGAGGATGATGACGGTGATGATGATGAGGATAATGATGAGAATGATGATGAGGATGATGATGATTATGATGATGTGGATTATGATGATTATGCTGATGAGGATGATGATTAAGATGAAGATGATAATGAAGATGATTTTGATGTTGAGGACGATAATGTGGATGACGATGAGGATGATGATGCGGACGATGATGAGGATGAAGATGAGGATGAGGATAATGATGAGAATGATGATGAGGAAGATGATTAGCATAATAATGAGGATCATGATGAGGATGATGATGATGAGGATGATGATGTGGATGATGATGTGAATGATGCTGAGGATGATGGTGAGGATGATGATGAGGATGATGATGATGATGATGATGAGGATGATGATGTGGATGATGATGTGAATGATGCTGAGGATGATGGTGAGGATGATGATGAGTATGTTGAGGAGGATGATAATGAGGATGATGATGAGGATCATGATGCGGATGATGATGAGGATGATGATGAGGACGTTGATGTGGATGACGAAGAGGATGATGATGAGGATGATGATGAGGCTGATGAAGAGAATGATGATGAGGTTGATGATGTGGATGATGATGAGTGTGATGATGATAACGATGAGGAGGATGATGATGACGATGATGATCAGGATGATGATGAGAATCCTGATGATAATCATAATGAGGATCATGATGAGGATGATGATAAGGATGATGACGAGGATGATGTTGAGAACGATGATGAGGCTGATGATGTGTATGATGATGTGGCTGATGATGATGATGAGGATGATGATGAGGAAGAGGACGAGGATGAGGATGATGATGCGTATGATAATGAGGATGATGATGAGGATGGTGAGGAGGATGATGATGAATTTGATGAGGAGGATGATGATGCCGTTGATGATGAGAATGAGGATGATGTTGATGATGAGGAAGATGATGAGGATGATGATGAGAACGATGATGAGGATGAAGATGAGGATAATGTTGAGGATGACGATGAGGATGATGTGGATGAGGATAAAGATGAGGACGATGTTGATGATGAGGACGATGATGAGGATGATGATGAGGATGATGACGAGGACGATGACGAGGTTGATGATGTGGATGAAATGATTATGATGATGAGGATGATGATGAGGATGTTGATGAGGATGATGATGAGGATTATGATGCGGATGATGATGAGGTGGATGATGTGGATGATGATGATGATGATGATGATGAGGCTGCTGATGAGGATGTTGATAAGGATGATGACGAAGATGACAATGAGGATGATTTTGAAGATTTTGTTGAAGATGAGGATGAGGATGATGTTGAGAATGATGATGAGGAATTGATGAGGACAAAGATGAGAATGATGACGAGGACGATGATGAGGATGATGATGAGGATGATGATGAGGATGATGATGAGGATGAAGAAGAGGACGCTGATGAGGATGATGAATAGGATGATGATGATGATGCTGATGTGGAACATGATGTGGATGATGACGAGGACGATGATTAAGATGAAAATGATAATTAGGATGATTTTGATGTTGAGGATGATGATGAGGATGATGATCGAGATGATGATGAGGATGTGGATAAGGATGATGTTGAGGATGATAATGAGGATGATTTTGAGGATGTCGTTGAAGATGAGGATGAGTATGTTGATGAGAAAGATGATGAGGATGATGATGAGGATGATGTTGAGGATGATGATGAGGACGATGATCATGATGATGATGTGGATCATGATGAGGATGATGAGGATGACGATGAGAATGATGCTGAGAATGACGATGATTTGATGTTGAGGATGATGACGAGGATGATGATGGAGATGATGATGCGGATGATGTTGATGATGAGGATGATGATGTGGATGATGATGATTGTGATGATGAGGATGATAATGGGAATGATGATGAGGATGAAGATAAGGATGATGATGAGTATGATAATGACGATGATGATGATGAGGATGATGATGAGGATGATGCTGAGAATGAGGATGATTTGATGATGAGGATGATGATGAGGATGATGATGAGGATGATGATGTTGATGATGATGAGGATGATAATGAGGATGATGATAAGTATGATGATGAGGATGAGGATGAGGATGATGATGAGGATCATGATGGGGATCATGATGCGGATGATCATGAGGATGATGATGAGGACGACGATGTGGATTACGATGAGGATGGTGATGATGATGATGATGATGATGATGAGAATTGAGTTATGGGTCATGATGAGGATGATGATGACGATGAAGACGAGAATGAAGATGAGATTTATGTTGCGGATGATGATGAGGATGATGAAGAGTATGGTTATCAGGATGATGATGAGGATGATGATGAGGATGATGATGACAATGATGATGATTATGATGATGAGGATGATGATGAGGATGATGATGAGTATGCTTATCAGGATGATGATGAATATGATGTTGAGGATGACCATGAGGATGAGGATGAGGATGACTATCATGCTCAGGATGGGAAGATGACGAGTATGATGACAAGGATGATGATGAGGATGGTAATGAGGATGATGATGAGGATGATGATGAG